AACACATCCTGAAAGTTTCAGTATAGCCTAGTTGTGGCCCTTGTTTTAAACTGATCTCTAGTCATCCACCTGCAAATAGTACAGGAGATGTTAGATGAAATGCATAACATTTTAGTGCCAAATTTTCAGAAAGTGTCCACCTCCAATTTCTTTTTTTTAAATACACTAGAATATTGCCATCTGTGACTGTGAAGCTGTGAAAGTATGAATCTGAAATATGTCAGCTGTTCATCAACATGCTCGTGAGAAAAAAATGCAAGCGACAGAAGGCTGGGTTTTGGGGAGGAGGTTGCAGGGGGCGAGAGAAGCACGCATCTTTTGCCAGAAGGCAATGAGAAGCCACATGTAGAGCATGGCTCCGGATGCTTCCGCAGGCTGTGCCATGGAGCTGGGGGCTCTGCACCGCTCCCGCCCAGCTGGAGCACACCCCAGCATTCCCACTGAGCCGGTGTGTGACAGACCCCCGTCTCTAGGGCCTGGAATCAGACATCTCTGCAATTTCAACATGTCCCAGGGACGTTCTGCTACGAGACGGAAATGCTGGTAATGGCACATCAGCTAGGGACCCAACACCCAACACTAACATCTCAGTATTTGCTCATGAGCCAACTCTCAACTTTAAAACACACCATTTTTTAAATGACTTGTCTCTTTAGAAGTTAAATAAATAACAAATATTTGCAAGGGAAAAAAGATGTAGTATAAAAATATTAATATTTCTGATAATTTTAACCTGATAGAAACCTTTGCTTTTTTCATCATTTCTTCTCAAGCAGTTAGTATTCAAAGGCTCTATTATGGAATCATTCAAGCCACTGCTTGTAATACAGCATATTAATATATTCATTTTCTCTTTCTAGTAGCAGTTTTCCATTCCAATTTCCTTTATCTGACTTCTGCATGATTTATTCTGGTGATAAAATGCCCTCCTCTTTCATATAGTTAATTCCTTCATGACTTAAAATTCATATCTTCCCATTAAATATGCTGGCAAGTTTGCTCATATCAGATTGGTCCCTTCCCCCTCTAGTTTTCAGTGACCAACCTGAACAGAGGCTTCCTTAAATTTCCTTCTCTTTTAACAGTTTTAATTTAATCTAGACCTTCTGTAAGAGAACTTTTAGGAACAATAATTGTTTCACACATGAAAAAGCCCCCTGACACAGTGTTGTATTAATTATCATTAGCTGCATGCTTTTTAGAAGTTCTGGCACCAGTTTAGAACACACACCTATAACACTCATAATAGTGTCTCAAAATTCATTGGAACAGCAATATTTTCTCAAGGCTGCATGAGGCCCCATAAGAATAATAACTGTGTTCAAAGTCTGACAATCCCATAATCTGCTCATCTCCACAACACATCACAGCTTTTGATCTCTGCACCAACTCTGCTGTTGCATTAGTTTATCTTTCAAAAAGATGCTAATTTTTGACATTTTGACTTTACAACTTTAAAAAGCAAACAAGCAACAGCCATTTGTAAATTGTCTTAATGGATGCATTGCTTCTAAACTCATTACTTGTTTAACACTATCTAGTTTTGACTTCTAACCCTCAAATCTTACTTAAACAAGGATTAAATAAGTTTTTGGAGTCTTAAAGTAGGCCCAGAAATGCCCACAACTGCCCCTTGGTGAATATTTGATCCCCAGGATACCCACACTCACACAGCTCTCAGGTCTTGGATAGATCTGCTCTGTGTAAGCACATCACACTGTGAGGACCCCCTTTACAAAAGATCAGTGTATCTAATTTATTTTTAAAGGATGGCCAAAAGAGGAAATTAATGTACATCCTTTACATAGTATTTGAGCCATAAGAACTGCATTACCTTGAAGACTGAACTCTAGCTAGGTTCAAAGCTTTCCTCAGTTTGAGAAAGTTAAACTTTGGTGGCCTACCTCCCATGAAAATGCACTTTCACCTCTTCTCGGATGTAAGAGATGACTTGTAACTCCCCGAAACAAGGACGGAGAGAAGTAGCCTGAGGGAAGCGTGAACAATGGCGAGACGCAAGACTTGGTAAAGATAAGGGATGAGGGGAGAGGAAGCCCTCTGAGCTGCAGAATGTCTCAAACACTCAAAAATAATGAAACTACAGTCATGGGGTAGATAGAGTGGAGATAGAACTGATAAGATTGCCTGGATAGCACAGGTTGTGGCTGGAGGAGGGAGCCCTGTGGAGACAGGATGGTTCTGCTCTGGTGCATCCTGTAAATTTTCAGGGGCCATCTGTCTCGTGAATGACCTTTGCTTCATTACCTGCAAAATCCATAATAAAGTTCAAACCCTGCACATGCTAATGAAGATTAACAAGATCATGGTAGTTACATCATCCCATTGAGCACCTTACTCTTCCCCATGCATGTGATACGTCAATATGTAGGTTGACCTAGGGGAGGGACCCAAGGAAAGTGTGTATAAATTGGGGAGGGGCAAGGTTAACAGAAGTGAAGCAGAGGGAAGGGGAGGGGAGGGGAAGGGGAAGGGGAAGGGGAAGGGGAAGGGGAAGGGGAAGGGGAAGGGGAAGGGGAAGGGGAAGGGGAAGGGGAAGGGGAAGGGGAAGGGGAAGGGGAAGGGGAAGGGGAAGGGAAGACAGATGCATCCTTGAACCCTTGTCGATGGGACCAACACAGGAACCTGGACCAGTGATCTCTATTTCTATCTCCATCTTTATCTCTCTCTCTCTTCTCTTTTTCCCCCTTTCCTTGTTATCATTGAGTAATGCAAGATATATCACACTGCTTGCCATAATTTGTTATATTTTCAGTCAATTATTGTGTATCCAATTAATCCATTGTGGGAAATTAATAGATGTCTATGTATAGACTTTGAGACTTGTCTCACTGTTGTCCACTCCACTGGAGATTTCCGAATCTAAATCATTTGTCTCCCTCTTCTGAGCAGGATATGTCATTGGGCCCAGAAACAGGAGAATGGGATGGGACTAGTTTTGAGGGTTAAGCCAACTCTTCCTCTTAGAAGAGTCAAATTTGGGTTGTAGTCCCAAAACACATGAATAGTTAACAGATTCACCATCAGCTTGTCCTCCAAGTGTGTTTTAAAGGAACACATTTAAGCATGGGCTTGGTTCTCTATGAGAAAAATCAGTAGCTGCAATCCGGATATTCTGGACTCGAGGTCCCATGTCAGTGAAGATTCATCCACGCTTAATCTCCTTACAATCCAGAGACAGTAGAAGGTGTCAGACACCATCTGGCTGTGTTTTCTACAGTCATGCCCAAAACAATGCACCATCTTGTCTGCACGCCATTTGGGGCTCCTCACCATCCCTGTGTATCACTGAAGAAATTCAGTGGTGCTTGGGGGCAGACATCAGACGTGCATGACTGTAGCTGGCTGGGAGACTTGTGCTGGCTAACCACTACATCTCTTCTTCACATGGGTACTGCTCACAGGTCACAGTACAGACAACTTTTAACCTTTGGGCAAACTCAGCACATTGAGCTTTTGTGGTATGTCACTATAACATTTTCCAAAACTTGAACACCTATCGATCCTGTTTTCTGGAATCTTTCTTACATTCCAGCACCTTTTCCAAAATACTGAGGTAACAGCCTCTCAGATCATGGGTACAGCTGTACCAGCTCCCTAACCCCTCTCAGACACTCTGATCGTGTATTCGGTGATTTCACTGGCTGCCCCAAATACATTACTGAACTAGGAATTTTAGGCAACCATTTATCACCTCCTTTTTAGGTTAACTTCACACCAAGATGCAATAAAACTGCCTTGAGTCTGATAATATCTAGCCTAATTACAACTTCCACCTGAGATGTGGGGTCATTAAGAAGGAAGATTTTGAATCGTTTCAGAAGCCAGCTCATGCTAGTTTTTGAATTAGCTTCTCATGTACCCCAGGAGACTGGTTTGAGAATTGCGATGGCCAGTGGCAGGCAGGGGACCGATACAGCTAAAGAAGAAAGCGCATGAGCCACTTCAGAAGGTATGTTCCAAGTTCCTCCCCAGGTCTTTTGCCTTTTATTCTCCAATTCAGGTATTACATTTCCACTGGTTTCCACCAGGATTGTGCATGCACCTTGACATGTTCACAGAAGTTCCACAATACAGAGTTTCACAACTGGGACAGGTCCCTACAATCGGGACACCAGGGTGACAAAACAGATTCTGGAGAATTTCCCACTGAATAGGATGGAGAGAACATAATTACCACATCGTAGCACTACAATGCTTCATAAACATAGAATAGACTAGATCCATTTACCACAAAAATCACAGAAAGTAACTGATCAAAGAATATCTCTTTTATGTAAAATATACATTTGTAGCATATAATTTTAATACATCTTTTATACTTACGGATGTTGGGTTTGCAACACTCTGAATTAAAAAAAAAAAAAAAAAAAAAAAACCAAAATAGTCTTGCTGCCAGAATTTTATTTCTCTTAATACTTATAGTTTGAGGTAACAATGAAAGAAGACTGTGTGCTGTGAACAAAGTCAGTGATGTTTGTCTGCAGTCACATTTCTGCTATCAAAGTGAAAAGTGAACTCAAGACTTGGCATGTACACTAGAATTCATACAAATATAGGTCATGTCAAACTGAGAAAGCAAGGATTTATGCAAACCTACTCTGTTCATATTTGTGACCTTTGCAAAATATACCATTATTAAGACAGAAGTCAAGACAGATGTAGTTTACATCACTATCATTATTAAGTGTGTGTCTTTGTATGATCCACAGCACAACTTACTGCAGGAACCAGGAATAATACACACAGGGGTGCGGGTCTTTGCATGGAGCCTTAGCAATGATGACTTGAATTCAGCTTTCCTTGATATAGATAAAAACTGATATTCCATGCACACACATTTTATTTACAGCTGACTCATCAACAGTGACTAGTCACCCCTTCCTCTGGCAGCAGTAATTATGAGCAGTCTTTCATCTTCTTTAACAAGCTCTACTTCCATGTAAAGTCTCAGTGACCTCCTCAAGGCGTGAGTTGTTTATCAGGGCCCATTCAGCAGCAGCAGTCTCTTTCCAGTACAGTCCTTGGTATGGCTAAATTCCATTGTCCCTTTTTCAGCAGTCAAAAATCCATGATAAATTCTGTACAACACTGTAGTTAATATAACAGCAGCACCAGATATTATATTAATTCCTTTGCTAAAAGCTGTTTGCAGTTATCTCTCTATTGACAATATTTTAACAAATCTAATTCAATGTACATCTCTAAATATCAGAAATGTATACTTTGATAAATACATTATTGTACAAGAATTCTGACATGCAGGTCATGCTATTGGGCTAGGCTATATACAGAAGAACATGTTACATGGTCAACAATAAGTTGTATTTCTTTTCCTAACAAAAAATAAAACATGACAATCAGGGATTATTCAACAATCTCAAGGATCTCTTAAGATTTGAGTTGTTATTGTCTTCCCCATGTAGTTCCAAAACTCTAGTTTAGGGTGATTTTTCCTCACCAGCCCAGAACACTAAATCTGCCACTGCATTTGTCCTATTGCATAAACAGAAGTTAATATTGAATGAAAAAGCCACTGGAGGAGATACAGTTTCAAAACTGTAATGAATGCTGGTTGCTAGGAGGAAGATTGATGCAATAGGCAACCGGTCAGTACGGTAAAGCCGCTACTAAATCCCACTTGAAAAATCTTCAGAGTGCTCACATGAGTTAGTCTAGACAATACTAACTTGCACTTGAAAAATATATATATTTATATCTATACACATAAGTATAGTCCATATGAAAAAAGAGAAAAGGAGAAAAATGTCCTTAGTTAACCTTAAAAGAGGGGGGCATTTTAACAGTATCCCTGTGCTTTATGGAGACAGATGGAGAATACAGTAGACAGGTTGCAAAACAGACAGACAAACAACATATAGGACAAAGCACCTCAAAAAACATTGACTGAAGAAATTTTTGAAGCTCATGAGCCAGAGGTATAAGGCTGGTCAAAAACCCAATTTGAGAACTACTACCCTCTCACAGTGGTACAAAAAAGCCCCCAATAATCTTCTCAATTTTACTTGGTACTCAGCCTCTGAAAATGGTGAAGAACCCTGGAGTAGAGAAATGACTACAGTACCAAGCAGCACTTGCTAGCTTAAAATTGCAAGTCTGGATGGCGTTTACCTTTCTTGCATGTTTTGTGCCTTCCCCAAGCCATTAAGAAAGAGATCTGGCTTCTGCTTGCGTGTAACCAGTAATGACAACCTCTTTGCAGTTATCTGTGTGCAAACAACCGGAGACATTCAGAACTCTGATACAGCAATCCAGTACCAAAGTAAGTTAATCACAAAATAAAGCCATTTATAAACAAATAGATTGTTAAAAAATAAAAGAAAAGGTTAAACAAAGAAAAACAATCCCACATGCAGACCAGTTTATCAGTGCTTTCATTTCAGCAGGATGGTACAATGAGAGAACACACATCCAGAGCCCTCTGTGGTCTCCGCGATCAGCAACACTGCTTGTCAGGTGATGGAGACAGGATGGTCCATGCAAATGAGCAGACCCAAGTCACATTGTGTGCAACCACGACACGATTCCAGACATCTTCAGAATGGATTAGAGTCACGAGAAATGGAGGTTCAATGGAGTGACTGATAATTAGTTGGAAGCACATTATTTTAAGTAAATCTCCCTGAAAATATGCTTATTTATTGAATATACTGGCCAACGGCATCCACTAACTGTCCTTTTATTGCCACAGTAAAGTAGGACAATATAGTAGATAAAAGGAGAAGTGCTACCTTAGGTAATCTTTAGAAGCCAAGATAAAAATCTTCAGCTACCCAAGTGGTATTTCTTACTACTGACAGTTATACCATGCAGGAGTTATACCATATTTGTGGAGCCTATGGTTAATGCTACATTTATTTCCAATATGTGGTAAACAGTATTTGAATTAATACTATGTAGTCGATTGATGCCATCTGGTTTACAAGATGGAAGGGATGGGAGACCGAGAGCGCCTTAGAGGACAAGGTGAGCTGTAGGGTGATGTTACTGGAGACAGTCGCAGAGCATTGCCTGTCAAGCCAGCTATGTTGTTTAAGCTTCGAGATTTTTCATAGCCTTGTATGAGAAAATGCACAGACATCAGTTGAATTCAGCCAAAAAATAGACAAAGACAAACAATACAATGTAATGTAATCCAAGGAGCTATCTGGGACTCAGAGGGAATCTGCCTGCAAAAGAACTCAGTGCTGAGACACATTACTACCAAAAGTCGTTAGTAAATAAAATTATTCACAAATTAATGCAGCTATTCTTTTCCAGAAAAATAAACAGACCCTCACACAAGAGGTCTGACCTGCTCTGCCACATCACATCTTGCACTCAGTGCTGCTCTGTTGGCTTCAGCAGGTTACACAGAGTGCAAGATAAAGGATCCCAACAGGGTTACTGGGTGAGCTATCTGGCTAAGCATAATAAAAAACCCATCAAGACAGACTATAAAAACTGTTGGAATTATATAATCTCTGTTAAACCGAATTCCTAATAAAGGACTATTTTCTTTAAAAAGAAATAAAATAAAAAACAGATAAATTGCAGACAATATGAGTAAATCATTTCTGTGGAGGATTGAATGATAATATGGAAAAGAAATATTAACCCTAAGACTTTGAGACTAATATTAAAATATAATAGAATGGCAGAGTTTGACATATTTACAAATGCCTCCTGATTGGAAAATTTAAAACATTGTATTTGTGCCCCTTCTCCAGCTGACTCAAATGAAATAAATTATATTAATTCACATAAGCAAGTAGTAAGCAAATAAACATTAAATGAGGCAATCACATAATGCTTCACAATTTGGAGGGAACATCGCACTTACAGACATTTCTATTCACGTACACCGTGAGCTCTAGCTACGTACTTTTTGCTACATACAGATTGTTTTCACCTAGTAGAGGCTATGCTCTAAAACGACAAAAAAGCATTGCTATTCACTGCATCACTATCTTCATACTCAAGTATTTTCAGTAGCACCTGAATAAGCCCACTTACGAAGAAAAGGATCAACCCATCCATCTGGAGAGATACCAGCAAGGAAATACAATGAAGATGAATCCAGACAGGACCTCACTCCTCAAGTACATGGATACATGCTGCACTGCAAGCATGAGAAGTTTCATTGATTTCAATGGCACTACCCATTTCCTTGAAGACAAGTATGCATCTAAGCACTTGCCAGGTTAAGAAATTCACGTATAAATTGTTTACGGTGAAATATTGAGACTTTGCCCATAGAAATGATAAAATGTCGATGACTATGCAACTAATTACTACATGGAATGTCACATGACATTTTTCTTCTGACTGAAATAGTTACTGCCTTAAATTCCAGATGTCCAGATAACAGACAGTTAAGAGACAGTTGTAAGCATCTTCAGGAAAAATCCTATCTTAGTTTCTCCCCTAATGACAATTAACGTATTTCTTAGCTATCAAGAATTGCATACTGTAAAACTATACTTAAAGCAAATGTATAACATGTCTGCTAAAATGTGCAATGTTATCTCCAGATTGCAAGGGCAGGCTAGACTGTGATGCTTCACAGACTTCTGATACATTTCAAAAAAAGCCTCTAGTTTCTGAGCTTCTATCAGCATTTAGGAATATTAGAAAGAATCATGTTTGAAGTGGGAATTGAGGGGAAGCACAATGATAGTGTATATATTTAACCTCCCTTTTAAACATCAAGCTTACAAAAAAAAAAAATCAAAATAATCAGTTAACTTTTTACACAGAAACTAGGAAAATATTCTTTAAAAAAATATGTTTCCTGCTGCTTTTCTAACGATAAAAGCAAAGAACTGACAGAGGAAGATAGTAAAGAAGATAAAGAAAACAGGAACCCCTAAAAAATGAAAACCAGATACAGAAGATGAATAGAGATAGAAGCATGATCCAAAATCAGTACTTTCCAGGTATTTTAGTGGGGTTTGGATCAGCTCTGAATCAATATCATCTTAGAGATGGAAATAAGGTGTTAATGTAAAAAAGCTCAGAATAAATGACCATTGAACACAACTAAGAACCAACCAAGGAACCAAAAAAACAGGAAGGATGTACCAAAAGAAAGGGAAAAAATAAAATTAAAAAGTAGTAGACTTGATGTGTGAATTAAATTCAAGTTTTGAAAACCATTTGGATGCTACTTAAAGATGTTTTCTGCTTATGAGATAAATACCCTACTCTGTATAAAATAAACCTAAAATCCAGTGGCTAAAACATTTCAGCCTAGACTAAGGTTATCATCAGACTCAGCAAAGAGCACACTTCTCACTGAGAAACTGTCAGTTCTGAACTCAAGCCCCACCCCCTTTTTTTTTTTCCTAGTAAAAACTATGGAACAAGTTTCTCCTGAATCAAAATGAAAATGTTCACATGTTCCCAGTATAAAATACGTTTTATTGTTATAGGAATATGTCTTTAGTAGTTGATGAGTAACTTCTATTATTTCTGATCTGTTCTAATCATGGTTATTCTCAAGTGAACAGCACCCAAATGCTTATACTAGCATTCCTAAAATAAGTCAATAACCTTATCTTGCAAGATGGCATGGCAATCTGCCTTATTCAGGTGTTCCTGACTTCCTTGAAAACCAGACCCTTAACATTGGAGATATTTTAAATAATTCTAGCTGTTGAGAAGACAGTGTGAGATATACGCTCAATGCAAAGCGTCCTAAATCTATGCAAAAACACGTTTGCAACAAAGTCCCATTTAATCTAAACATTATATATAGGAATATGTAAAACACAGCAGCATGGAGACAATAATATTCTACAAATACTGTATACACTGAACTCTGGTTGAGTATCTGCCTTCACAGGTTTAACCTACTGAGCTCATGCTTTTGAAATGTAAAATGAGCATTTGCAAAATAACCCAAAAGAATTCCTTTAGGGTCTGCAGCTGACTGGAACAGCTATGTTTGCTGTACACAAAGCAAGTTACGAAAAAAAAAAAAAAAAAAAAAAAGAAAAGACAGAAAATCTGAAAATCTCAGCCAAAATTGTTTGTCCAATGTCATGTGGCTATTGCAGATGAACTCTGAGGTGAATGGCCACACATCAACACTCAGGAATGTGAAACCTGTTGGAATGATGCAATTTGCCAAGGAACCAAAGCAATTATTATCTAAGGAAATGGCAAGACTACCACTGGCATTGCTGATTTTGGGGCTATGTCCTGAGGGTAGGTTTGCAGCTACAGCCAGCTGTGGCCTGATGGGGTAGCCACACCACTAGTCATACGGATGATACATATAACGACAGAAGGTTTTGAAAACTCCGGCTGGGGAACCCAATCCTACTGAACAGTGAGTAATCAAACTCGAAGAGGCTGAATAACTAGAAAGGTATTTGTAGCACTTTGCAAGATCAAATATTGTTTACTGTAGTTTAATTCTGTTTGGGGTAGACAGTCACCTTTTAGCATCAGTGGCATATTACAAAGAGGAAACATTTTGTGGCATTATAAATTCAAAGTTTTCTTTGAAAGAAATCTAAATAACGTCTCATGAGATATGCTTTGTTGTGTCCAGAACAGAAATGTTGCTTACTTCTGACATTTCAACCTTTTAAGTGTAATTCATTCAGCTGTAATTTTTACTAAGTTATTAAGTGCAGACCAAAGTTATTAAATAATTAATTTGTCTTTTAGAATGACAAATGGTATTGAGTGATGACTGGTTGAATGAGTAAGGTCTGAATTGCAGGCTTTTCCATTAAAGATAACAGACAATGAAGACACAATTGGAATGAGGGTCCAACATCAAGCACATTTTGTGAAGACTAAAGAAGATGAGTGTTTCTAAAAGGAAAGGAGGAAAAGAATGACTAGGAATAAAGAAAAAAGATACATTGTGAGTACAGTTTTTCCTCTAAGAGCATTGTGCACATCATTTTACTTTAAGATTGTTTTTCACAAGCACATTGCTGAGTAACCTTTTAGGATCTAATGAAAGAAGTCCATACCTTTCCTGATCCCTCCATCAGTAGCACACGTGTAATCACCTGTTGTCAGTAGGAAACATGTTCCCCCTCTTCTGTTTTTGTCTCTTGTACTAGAGCGTCTGATGGGAGGGAGCCTTTCACCAGGTGAGAGTGGCTGCTCACTTCCTGCACTGTCTTCACCTGATAACACTGGTTAAAGCACCATGCCCATTTACAGACAATAATGAATGAGGAAATGAGACATCACAAAGAGCTTATGCTGAATGCCGGATATTCCCATCACTCAAAAAAGTTATAAGGTAAATCATTAGAAGAAAACAAGATTGCAATTCACCATTAATCAGTACAAAATGGCAAAAAGTATATTTTGTATTCAAGAACAAATGATCTTTTTACTTTCCTGTTCTTTTAAATTTCATGTAAAGTTATAGTAAACTAACATGAAATAAGAAATAATCAAATCAAGGCACAGTTAGTTGCCTATTATGGACTGTAACTTTTCAGAGTACAGTCAGCCTTGGATATTTCAAACAAGTATTTACTATGTTGGCTATCTTTTTTGTTAAACAAGTGGTCACATTAGTAATTTTTGATTTTTAAATTTATGTTGTTTAGCATATCTTAAAGACAACTCCTCCCCCAGGAGGGTTAAATTTTCAACGTTTGCACTAAAATCTGTTTAATAACACACTTAGCTTTCACTTTTATACTTATCACACTTGCACTGCTTGTCATCATAAGTACCCAACATTAAATGCTGTCTTTGGTCTCTGTAGTTTATTTTGTCAAACAGTAAAATTCTTACCTCTCCTGATTTGGCACTCCCAGAGGACTCTCTTTTAAAATTATCTACCATTTCAGATTCATGCCACACTTCAAGAAAAATATCTCTGCTCAGTACAGCACCTAACAGGTAATGGCATATTTTTGACTTCAGCTTTACCTTTGCATTTAAACCTGAGCATATGTTCTTCTGAGCTGGTAATGTAAAGGGCTATATTCAGCCCTGAAGTTTTGCGCAGAATTCCTAGTGACTCCAATAGCATTCTCTGCCAGAAATAAAGCTACAGTGTATGATATCAGCGGTAGCACTACTGAAGAGAAAGTTAACACTTTAAAATGGCTCATTTTTGCATATCTGCTTTCTCTCTAGCTTCAAGGATTATAACACCTTGTAAATAAAGCTGCAGACACAGGAAAGTGTCTCTTTGCTATGATCACACCGAGCCTCCTCTATTCCGGAATACCTTTAGTAAAACCTGATGGCATGAAGAAACTGTTATGATTAACACTTTAAAGATGTTGTCTGAAAGTGGGTATCAGTCAAAGCACTGTGAAACTAACTATATTCCACCCTCAGCATGAGTCCTGTCAAGGGTTTCCATCTTCTTAAATATATTTAGGATGTTCAAAAAGCTGTGTTAACTTTGCGAACACTCACTCGGAGACTGAAACCGAGCTTCTTTGAACATAAATATTATTCAGTAGCAGAGCAACAGACCAAAGACAGATATTTTTCAGAGACCAATTTTCCAGACTCTTCTTTTTTAAAAAATAGATTTCAATTACTGAATCACACCAGTCATAGCTGGTTTTCCTCTTATTATTCTTTAGCAGCTTTCCAACAGGAGTCTAATGACTGGTATGTGAGCTTTCTAATCAGATTGTTCTTGGCTTAAGAATAAGTACATTCAAGAAGCAAACAAAAATATCCTTGCTGCTAAAAAAATTATTTTAATTATACTGAGAGATAAAATTTACTCTTTAATTTGAAGAGAAATGGAATATGGGGCAGTGGCTTGGCGGGGCAGAGGCTGTCATTTGATATGCATTTTCACAGCGATTAGCACAAAATACTCCTTACCCATCATTTGGAACTCTAACAAATAAAGTAATGTGAATCATAAAAATCAACACTAATGATGATGATGATGTTGCTAGGGGCTGTCATTTTCATTTTTCTTTACACACTTTACATCACCTATGCTATTATCATTCAATTAATAGTGGATATCATGCAATGTCTCATCTAACACAGACAAAGGAGGTTCTTCTAGCCAGGGAAGCAGAATGCCAAATGGAAAGAAAGCTAGAAAGATAATTTCTTATTTCCTTTGAGTGCTGGGCTTTTGATGTAAAGCACCCGCTCCTTTTAAATGACTGCTTCTTTGTAGGATCTTGCTTAGCAGGCCACGATGTGGCACAGGCAAAGCTGACACAAGAGACAGACACTGAGGCAAAACACCATGGAGTCCAACAGGGTGGGACACGGTGGCTGCTCAAATAGTCACAGTCATGCAGAAAAACAAGAAACATCCATACAACGCAACAAACAACAGGCAAAAGAAAAGGTTGATATCATCAGCAGGAAAGCATTCTCAACAGAGCAAGCAAAACTGTATAGACCAGCTACATAGAGGTTTGGGAACATCGCTATACCTATTTTGTCCTCTGTGAGACTGACACACGCAAACACTGGAGGGGAGAAGGGTGGGAGCTACATCTTCTCCTGGCAGAAAGACTGGCTGCTTTCTGACCCTTACCAAACATACTGGTCTATAAAGTGTTTTCAGAGGACATGCATTTCCAGTGGGGTCCTACCTGATGATCTGTTGTGCTCCATCAGCTGGTTGTCCTTGCCGAGGCAGATGTCACCCTGTGTGCTATTGCAAGCCATGTTCAAGTCTGTCTTGCAGAAGGTGGGTGAACTGGCTTGAGGAGCAGGAGGGATATGCTTCTTCCGCTTCCTCGGCAATTTCTGCTTTGCCATGGCCAGGGAGTAGTACATCCCAAAATTGTTAACTATCACAGGCACGGGCATGGCTATGGTGAGCACCCCTGCCAATGCACACAGGGCTCCCACCAGCATCCCTGACCAAGTCCGTGGATACATATCCCCATATCCCAGGGTGGTCATGGTGACTACAGCCCACCAGAAGCCGATAGGGATATTTTTGAACTGTGTGTGCTCACTTGCTGACGGGTCATTAGGCTGGGCTCCCACCCGCTCTGCGTAGTAGATCATGGTGGCAAATATCAAGACACCAAGTGCCAGGAATATTATCAGCAGCAAAAATTCGTTGGTGCTTGCTCGCAGAGTGTGGCCCAGCACCCTGAGGCCCACAAAGTGCCGAGTGAGCTTGAAGATTCGCAGGATCCTCACAAACCTTACCACCCTGAGGAATCCAAGCACGTCCTTAGCAGCTTTGGAGGAGAGCCCGCTCAGGCCCACTTCTAGGTAAAAGGGCAGGATGGCCACAAAGTCAATGATATTCAAGAGGTTTTTGATGAATTCAAGTTTATTGGGAGAAAAAACAACACGTACTAAAAATTCAAATGTAAACCATACCACACAGACTCCTTCCACGTATGTCAGGGCAGGATCTGTCTCAATTTCATATTGTAGCACAGTTTCTGTCCCATTGACGACCTGCTCTGTTTTGTTTATAATAGTATTGAAAGCCTCATGCGTTTCCAGGCAAAAGGTTGTGATTGAAACTAGGATGAAGAACAAAGAGGCAAAGGCGATGAACTGAAACAAAAAGAGAAAAGAGACATCAGAACTACACAGCTCTTCACATTAATACTAACGAGGTCAGTGATCATTATAAATCTTTTGCTTATTCATCCCTGAATGATTCTCAAATTCGTATGCATAAAACTTTGCATCTAGGCCAGAGAAGAGCAGCAAACAGCTCTCACATGTAAGCCAGAAGTCTGGGAGCAGGAAAAGTCTTGGTGATGGACGCCATGACACTCATTCAGAAAGTGGCAACAAATTATTTAATCTGTGCTAAATCATCTGAAATCCCTCCAGTTGTCAATGTACCTTACAAGCAGCTCCCGTACACACTAGCCACAGCAAGATTTAAGGCTGTCCACCTCACACAGTGGAAAATGGGGCTGACCCTAATGGTCTTGAGATTATGTTTCAGGAATTCACACCTGGCCTGAAGGGCACCTCAGAGGGTCCCAGGAACAGATCCAAATGCTGGGTTTCCTTTGGATATTCAGTGATTCACAAACAGGATATTTACTGATAGAAAATGCCTTCCATGTTACAGGTAGAGTTGGTTGTACAGCCTGTTATGTTCACAGTCATCCATCACTCATATTCTTAGGCAGGACTAAGAGTAAAACTAGCTGAACATCTCACTGCAGTGGCAGAGCTTTGCCAGTGTGTTAGGATCCACAGTCCTGCTATCAAAGTTACAAATCCAGGACAATCTGAACAAATAGGGAAATATAAATTCAGTTCTACTAGAGGCACATAAATAAATAAATAGAATTAAATAACCTGGAGACAGCCCTCACAGAGGATTGTTAAGGACTTAAAAACATTTACGGCATGATCTTCTACCAGTCATCGCAGTCAAGCATTTAAGAAAAGAGAATGCCCAGGACAGGAGCTCATAAAAATTAACACTGAGCCAAACATCTGGAGGGGGAGATAAACTTTCTTACACTCACTAAAACATGCCAAATGAAAAGGTGTTTTGTGGGCAGTTGTTCTTGTGCTACAATGGATAACTTCTTTTAAGTGTCAATATATTACCACCATGTTAGCATTCCAACAGCAATGGTATGGTACATGAATAGATGTTGTATTTAAATCCCTCCCTGAGCCAGGACTTATAATATATTGTCAATGTGTTTGTTATTCTGGATTTTCATCTTAATAGACATTTCATAGCCAATATTATCCTGGAAAAAAATTCACTGAAGACCTGAAGATTTTCGAAGGTGTTATAGGCCCAAAGAGACAAAAAGATGCCTAAACAGGTTTTTGAAAATATCTAGTGCCTATGTGCTTCCGCACATATCTAGCAGTTTGAAATTTTACCATTGCACAATATCAAGAAAGAAACAAATTTCTTTCAAAATGGCAGAAAATTACTAACTCTTTTGGCTTTGGATTTTTATAATTTTAAACTGTTACTTGCTGGTAAAACTAAAATATATGATAGGGATCTCATAGCTTGAGGCAGGCTCTTCATCCTTTTTAATATTATTTATTTTAGTAAATAAACTAAATTAATTTTATGTTTCCCTTAATACTACTTACAAATCACTCAAGGTATCACTCTTCTAATCCATTAATTCCCAACCTTAAACTGAGTACCTTAAAGAAACCCAGCAAGTAGAGAAAAATATCATGTTCTCTACTACCAACCATTTGTAAATGGCAGTTTACAGTCTGGGTTCCAGTGGTATAGCCAAGAGAAAACGTGGCAGCGGGATGCTGGTATATTACCACACCAAAATCTTGAATCTCATTGAAAAAATCTAGCTACAAGGGAGACAAAACAGCAGCCATAAGCAAGAATGTCTCTGTTATGTCACTTTAATCCAGGCTGCAGCATTGTGGCAAACAATGATTTTGTGTACTTCAGGTATCAATCACTGAATTTACTATTTAGCACTCCGATTTATTATTATGTGCCACAGGAGTTCATTTGAGCTGGTACAATACTGAATGGTTGCATTTTTCTAACATAGAACATTAGTTAGACAACAAAATGTTGTCTCTACAACCGGCAGAGAGAATTGCTTTTATTCTGAGAAACAAGTTTAAATTTGCAATGCAGGCCTGGCAAATTTATTATATGCAGACCCACAAGATATATCTATCTACCAAAAAACCCCATATATCTACCTATATCAGAGACTTGCAGCTTGTTTATGGCTTCCTTTCCTCAATCAATGAAACAAAGTTATTACACCAAGCCCTTCAATTACAAACACTCTAAATCTGTTATCTTTCAGAAAGGACTGACTCAGGAACTGAACTGAACACTTATCATCCAGTCTGAACTTCTAGTCACGAGCTAAGCAAACAGTCTTACATTGTCTGGCTGATTTTTACTGAACAGGCTTTTCTGCATTTGCCTTAACTACAAAATTGCTTCACATTCATAGCTCATTTATTCCTGGCACCTGACATCAATATACACAAGAAAGACTCTGTCTTGTGTGAGACAACTAGAGTCAGCAAATACAACCAGATTTATATATCCTAAGTGAATTAATCTCAGCAGATCCTTGCAAAACCTCTCCATAACATGGATAGAGAATTTATCAGACTCTAAGCCACCAGTGGGCTAAGAATTACCCCTGGGAGGCTCCTAGAGCATTTTCCAGCATCTTTCTACTCAGTGAAGGAGGAAAAAAGCAAACAAATCTGTGGAGGTTGAGGATCACTGAAGCTAAGTCAGCACTGTAGTTTACAATCTGGGTGGGAACTTTTAATAGCTAAAATATTGGGCAACCTCTTTCACAGCAACACTTTGGTGATTTCAAACAACTGTGAACATTTTTTGTCTGAAAAGAACAGAAAATTATATTCAACCTAGAAAAACTAAAATTTACCAATTCAGATATAATAAGAATTAACTGTGCATACAACAGGCCACTGAATCAAATAGTATGTAAATAATAAGCACCTGTTTCTGGGCTGTATTTCAGAGAGCCCATTCTAGTTCAGATCCTTTCTAAAAAAACGCCAAAAATCAAGGGATAACTACAGGTTGAACTGTCTGACAAGCTATTTATTACTGTTTTGCTCAACACTGACACTGTGAAAGGCCATGGTGCACTTGGCACTTGGCAAAGCAGATTGAAATTTTTGACTGTGCACCTACATTCAGTGGTGCTTTATTATCCTTAAAGGATACAGACTTTCAGTCATTTCCAAAATCTGCTGAGTATTCCACTCTGTTATCCTAAAGCCAATCATCTTTCAGAGGTTAGAACAAACAAAGTCAAGAAAAAACTATTAATCTAGTAACAGTTTTCTTGATAATCCTGCAATTTCCATTAATAGCAATGTAAAACAATGAGACATACACATTTCACCATGAACATAATATCATATACGCCACTGATTTTGAGCAAAGACACTTATTCCTTTTATCTCTTTATGCATTTTGTTTTAAACTGTCAACTTCTTGGATCAGCACCTAGCACAATGAAACCTCATACACAGGAAGACCTGCAATGTCATTGCAATAGTCAGAGGGTTCAGAGAACATGCAAGAAGAAAATGAAATGGCCAATACAAGAAGGAACATTTTATCAGTCAAAGAAAAATGCTTAGGGATTCACTTTATATCAACAAAGATACTTCCTTAGTATTACATTACATAATACTAGGCAATGTGTTGGAAAGACTAGTATGTTTTTCACAAACAGTTTTAATGATAGAAGTCATGTGCTATCCTCACTTTATGCTTTCCTTCCATTTCATTCTAATTCTATTTTCTCTCATTTTGAAGGAAATGAGCCTTTAAAAACACATCCATTTTTGTTCATGTGAGCAAGCACTACATTTCAGACAAAGTCAGTACAGATCCAAACTCCCGAATTGTCTGGTGGATAGGACCAAGTTCTATTCCTCAGTCCTCCTAATGTCCACAATAATTAGGGTACCACACACAACTTTCAGGGGTTTTATTACGAAGTACAAAAATCTAAACAGAGTTAGCCTGATCATCATTTCAGAAAGGTCACAGCAAGAGACTATTTTTTATTTGAATCATTAGCAACCTTTCACTGTGAGAAGTTCTGAAAACCTAGGTTTTGACTACTTGCAAGACAAATCCAGAAATTGAGCCTTGGTATACAGCAAAACAGCTTCATCAACCCCCTTTTCTAACCAAAGACTGCAGTGAAGAACATGGTTTGAAACTTTTTAGAAAAGAAGTTGAAGAAAAATTTTCAAATATGATCCAAATAATCAGAACAATTTTCTAATTTCTTTAACGTTTTTTAAAAATAGTTGTTTCTTGTTTGTTTCAATGAACGAGATAAAATTATCTTTCTTCATTTAGGTTTTCTTTTTTTCCCCTGAGGGACAACAATTTTCTAAGTGAGACAATCGTTGTACAGACACTCCAGGGCCACCAAACCATCCTTTTTAAAGTTGAAATTAATAAATATTTAATTATTAAAAGTTTCAGTTCATTTTTGCCAGAAGAGAGCAGTTAAAAGTTACAAAAATGTTCAGCATGTAATACACAGCACGCAGAACATTCCTCATTAAGTAGTTAAAGCTCTCAGTAGGCTGCTGATTCCCTCTGCTCTCATTTTGAAGGCAGTGTGCACCCAATTTTGTTCATAAGTGTCGATAACACATTTCAGACAATGTTGGAACAGATTCCAGCTCCCAGCTTTTCTAGTTGATGGGATCACCAGCCAAGCTCTGTTGCTGAGTCCTACTAATGTTCACAGTAAGTGGTTTAATCATCTACGACCTGATTTTTAATGAAGCACATAAATCTAAAGTGAATGTCAGATGCCTGCACATAACTTGTTGAAAGTAGAAAACTTTATGATTCCTATTTTGAATTCAGCGTCCCATGGGGAACTGAATTGCTCAGAGCTTAAAGCAATTTCAAAAATGACAACCAATTCTAGGACTGCAAATTGAGCAGTCTGTGGATTATCAGAACATCTCTGTATTTAATGCCATGTTTTACCTTGCACATAGCTCCTAAAGTGCCTTGAAGAAATCAAGGTCATTTTAAAAATCAT